CTTACTCCACATCCTCTCCAAATCAAGACCAAATAAACAATTTAAATAGACCAACTTTTGGTATGTGGTACCTGTCCAAAAAATTATCCATTTCTTTTACATTTTCCAATTTTGTGGAATACAGATTTTTGAAGTATGACATGATGATTCTCTGGATTTCCTCATTGTCTCTTTTTATATCTCCCTTTTTGTTTCTGATTTTGTCAGTTTGGATAGCCTCTCTCTGCCTTTTGGTTAGTTTGGATAAGGGTTTGTCTATCTTGATGATTTTCTGAAAGAACTAACTCTTTGTTTCACTGATTCTTTGTATTGTTCTCTTTTGTTTCTATTTTGTTGATTTCAGCCCTCAGTTTGATTATTTCCTGTCACCTACTCCTCCTGGGTGAGTCTGCTTCTTTTTGGTCTAGAACTTTCAGATGTGCTTTTAAGTTGCTAGTGTGAGATTTCTTCAAATTCTTTATGTAGGCAATTAGTGCTATGAAATTTCCTCTTAGCACTGCTTTCATAGTGTCCTATATGTTTGGGTATGTTGTGCATTCATATTCATTGAATTCTAGGAAGTCTTTAATTTCTTTCATTATTTCTTCCTTGAGCTGGTGGTGATTCAGTTGAGTGCTGTTCAATTCCTGGCTTTCTGCCATTAGTGTTGCTTTTGAATTCTAACTTTAAGCCATGGTGATCCGATAAGATACAGAAGGTTATTCCAATCTTTTTGTATCTGTTGAGATTTGCTTTGCTGCCAAGTGTGTGGTCAGTTTTAGAGAAGGTTCCATGAGGTGCTGAGAAGAAGGTATATTCTTTTGTGTTTGGGTGGAATGTTCTATAGATGTCTGTTATGTCCATTTGAGTCATAACATATGCTAGTTCCCTTATTTCTCTGTTAAGTTTCTGTCTGGCAGACCTATCCAGTGGTGACAGTAGGGTGTTGAAGTCTCCAAGTATTAGTGTGTGGGGTTTGATGTGTGATTTAAGCTTAAATAATGTTTTTTTTTTTTTACAAATGTGGGTGTTCTTGTATTTGGGGCCTAGATGTTCAGTATTCAGACTTCATCTTGTATTTTTCCTATGATGAATATGGAATATCCTTCTCCATCTCTTTTATTGACTTTTGTTTGAAGTCTATTTTGTTAAATATGAGGATAGCTACACCAGCTTATTTCTTATGATCATTTGATTGGAAAACCTTTTCCCAACCCTTTACTCTGAGGTGATGTCTGTCTTTGACATTGAGGTGTGTTTCTTGTATGCAGCAGAAGGATTTCCTTTTTTCCTACCCATTCTGTTAGCCTGTGTTTTTTATAGGTGAAATGAGTCCACAGATATTAAGAAATGTTAATGACCAGTGATTGTTAATTCCTGTTATTTTTGGTTTTGTTGTTGGTGGTGATAGTGTTTGTGTGTTTCCCTTCTTTGGAGTTTGTTGGTGTAAGATTATCTATTGCCTGCGCTTTCTTGGGTACAGACAACTTCTCTGGGTTGGTGTTTTCCTTCTAATACTTTCTGTAGAGCTGGATTTATGGTTAGGTATTGTTTAAATCTAGTTTTGTCATGGAATATCTTGTTTTCTCTGTTTGTGATGATTAAAAGCTTTGCTGGGTATAGTAGTCTGGGCTGGCATCTGTGGTCTCTTAGTGTTGGCAGAACATCTTTCCAGAACCTTCTGGCTTTCAGAGTCTCCATTTAGAAGTAATTCTGATAGGTCTGCCTTTATATCTTACTTGGCCATTTTCTTTTTCAGCCCTTAATATTCTTTCTTTATTCTGTATGTTTAGTGTTTTGATTATTATGTGGTGAGGGGACTTTTTTTTTTTGGTCCAGTCTATTTGGTGTTGCATATGCTTCTTTTATCTTCAGAGGCATTTCTTTCTTTAGGTTGAGGAAGTTTTCTTCTATGATTTTGTTGAATACATTTTCTGTGCCTTTGAGCTGGAAGTCTTCTCCTTCTATTCCTGTTATTCTTACATTTGGTGTTCTCATGGTGTCCCAGATTTCCTGGATGTTTTGTGTTAAGAATTTGATGGATTTGACATTTTCTTTGAATGTTGAAAATATTTCCTTCATACTATCTTCAGTACCTGAGATTCTCTCTTTCATCTCTTGTATTCTGTTGGTTATGTTTGCATCTGTAGTTCCTGTTCATTTACACAGATTTTCCACTTCCAGAATTCTCTTGTTTTAAGATTTCTTTATTGCCTCTATTTCAATGATCAAGTCTTGGACTATTTCCTTCACCAGTTTGATTGTTTTATTTCTGGCTTTCTTGAAGGGATTTATTGATTTCTTTCAAATTTTTGTTTAATCTTTTCCTCACTTTTGTTATGGGAATTTTTCATCTCCTCTTTAAGGGCTTCTATCATCTTTATAAAGTTATTTTCAAAGTTGTTTTCTCCTGCTTCATCTGCATTGGGATGTTCCAGTCTTGCCGTTGTAGAACCACTAGATTCTGGTGGTGTCATATTGCTCTTTGTGTTGTTGATTGTATTCTTGCACTGCTGCTTACCCATCTGAGTTTGGGATAGTTATAGATATAGGTGTTACTTCTTGTGATGTCTTTGTTGGATGGGTCTTGTATTCCTTTGTTGTCTGTCTCCTTTATTGTCTTTTGGCCTGAATGGCCAAGGTTTCTGGTGATTGGCTGATTGTCAGGTTGAGTAGCATTGTCTCAGGTGAGGTTTGCTGGGATTTAAGTGCCTAGATCCAATTTATTGTCCAGTTCTTCTGGCTGGTATAGGCTTTACTTATGCCTATGGGTACTGTTCTTCCAACTGGTATAGGTTTTGACTGTGCCTGTTCTTCCAATTGGTGTGAGTGATGCTTGTGCCTCTAGGGTGTGCCGATGTTGTGGGGATGTTTGGCCATGGGGAAGTTGATGGGTTCCTTGGGTTTGGGTGGTGGAGTGTGTCTTGTAGGTTACAGAATTCAATGGGTGGCAGCGGTAGTGGAGTAGCCTGCCCTCAGGACTCTTGCCTCCTGGCTGGCTCCTGGATCTGAGATGGAGGGATACAAGATGTGCTCTGGGGCTTAGGACCTAGAGATTGGGGCAGTTTAACTGTGAAAATAGTCATTCACCTTTTCTTCCAATTGGTGCAGGTGGTGCTTGTGCCTCTAGGGGTTGCTGATGTTGTGGGGGATGTTTGGCCAGGGGGATGATGACAAGTTTGGTGGGTTTATGTGGCAGCATGGGTCTTGTAGGTTACAGAGTCCAATGGGTGGTGGTTGTGGTTGTGGTGGAGCAGCCTGCCTGCAGGACTCTTACCTGCTGGCCAGTTGCTGGGACTGAAATTCTAAGTATATTTTCAATGAAAAATAAAAAGAAAAAAACAGAGAATACAAAAAAAATCACTGTAATGAGAAATAATGCAAACACCACAGCTTACAATCTTTTGTAGACATTGTAATTATGATGGTGGTTATACTTATGCACCCATAATCAGCATGTGAGGAAAATCAATTAAAGAGAGACAACTAACCCTCTTAAAGTGTTTATATACTTGCTTTCATCTATGGAAAGGATTCAATCAAAAGCATGGTTGAAATTTTGCAATCTTGAGGTATATGTGCCTTCATATGTTGCATTCTGTATAAATCATGTATTTGGAAATTGCATTTTATAAAAGAAACATCTTAATCTTTCATAGTAAGAACAGACTTTTCTACCTTGTAAATTTGTTTACTTTCTTTTTTTGGTTTTTTTCAAGGGAGGGTTTCTCTGTGTAATTTTGGTGCCTGTCCTAGATCTCGCTCTATAAACCTGGCTGGCCTCAAACTCACAGAGATCTACCTAGCTCTGCTTCCCGAGTACTGGGATTAAAGGCGTGTGCCACCACCACCTGATGTATTTACTTTCTTTTATGATTTTATAACATGTTTATCATTCTGACAGCCCACTATCCTCTTATGTGTAGCAGACAAGCCAGAGGGTAAAGGATGATGTAACTGTAAATATGTTTTTTTTTTCAGGCATAGTGTTCCTGGAACACATTCTGCAAACACACACACAAACACACTAGTGCCTGAGCTGGTATGACTAGAGAGCAGAGGAAGGGGAATCTGTTGTGAAGTAAAGGAGTTATGAAGTGAAGGAGTCTCCCTCCAGCACCCGATTCTTGAGTTAGTTCATATGAGACAACTGTGACTGTTACTTGGAGTGACAGATGATCTCTGTCTTAGTTACTGTTCTATTGCTGTGAAGAGATACCATGACCATGGCAACTCTTATAAAAGACAGCATATAATTGGGGCTTGCTTACAGTTTCAGAGGTTTAGTACATTATCCTGCAAGTTTCCTCTGAGTTCTGCATCCAGAACAGCTTCAAGTCTGCTGGCTGAGATGATCCAGTCTCAGAGACTACTCTAGTCTTACAGACTACTCTAGCCAGAATTTGAGACAAGCCCTGCACTTTCCCATTACACAGAGACTAAACAACAAATCCTACAGTTACCTCTCTCGGGACTTGAGAATTAACCCAAATTTTTCTTTTCAGGATCCCCTAAAGATGCTGTCACCCCCAGACAGCAGAAATTTTCAGACACGATGCCCACATTCCCAAGAGGTGGGATGGATGGTTTTTGTCTTTCAATGGGTTATGGATATTTGTCATTGTTTAGGGTGGTTGGTTACAAGCTGATATTGGTAATGGTCAGGAAAAAAGATAAACAAAGGATATTAGATTTGGGGTTCTTGTTTTGAAAAGAAAAAAGAGGAATGCAGTATGATAGAATAAAAGAGTAGATTAAAAAGAAAAAAAGGAGATATAGATATGATAAGATAAAACAATAGATCATGGAATCTACTTTTAAAAAGCAACTACTTGTTTTAAATATTTTACACTGATATGGATCTTTGTATAGTGATACAAAGTTGAGATTTTTTTTAGAACATATTGTACTTACATTTCTAATCTTGTTCAAGGTATTGTACTGTAGCAGGGTCCTTGCTGTTGTTCCCTTTGGGGGCGGGGGCCAAGTAGGCGCAGAGTCAAACCACACAGACTCTGGGAGAATGTTGAAACAACAAGATCAGTTTATTCAGGAAGAAGCAAGACTTATATACCCTCCACCCCACCCTGGGGGAAGGTCTGATGAATATGCATCAGCTGGTGTGACATGGCTGCCTCTCACTGATCCAGGTCATCTTCAGATCATGTTTCAGCTGCTGTTGCTAAGACCATCAGGCAGACCCAGGCTGGCTCTCAGAAAGTATCTTTTTTACTTGTTTGGGCCATCTGGCCCTCAAGCCCGTTAGGGATGAGTCATCCCACAATTGTACTTATACAACTCATTTAAAAATACAATGCAAATTTCTAGTCTCTGAAAGTTATTATTAGCATCTAATTAGGATAATAAAGAAATCCAGGTTAGTAGTTACTCACCTATTACAATTAAACTTGTAGTCATGTTATGTATGTTTTCAAGGGTAAACATATATTTTAGGTAAACAGGTGGCCTTCAAATACTTTAGACATCTACACAATATGACATTTAAGATGCTTTAATAACATAGACTCTTTTTTTTATGACAATCAGACATGTCTGAGACTTCAGAGAAGATGATGGGTATTGATGGAACTCCATATGGAGTTTACTTTCTTTGTGGCAAAATTAGCTTGACTGCTGACAGTATGCTGTCCAAATGGGACAAGTGGGAAACAAAGGAAAGGACTGCCAAATTTTGCCAGTCCTTTTTTTAAGATAGGATAGCCCTTCAGAAAATCCTGTTTCACAGATAAGTCTGTCAGATATTCTCAGTCTGTAGGCCAAAGATGGATGCCTCAATGTTGCAGAGGAATGTCAGGTGACTGTCCAGGCAGCCAGCTGTTTCTGTCATTTCTCATATTTTTTGGAAGTCACTTGCTTGCACTTCCTGTTTACTTAGGCAATATTGCTTCCTTCTTGGGTCTCTGAGGGAGTTGAAGACTAGATAGCTATAGTTATAGTATTACTTGTTACAGATTCAGAAAAGAAACTCACTAAGAAGTGTAAAGTGCATAGGGTTGAGAAACATTAAAAGATAATTGTGATAATGCAAATTAGGATAGAAGGTGAATTAGGTACAACACTTTGGACTCACCAAACTAGGGTAAATTGTAGATGTAACCAACGGTCTTATTAAATAAGAAACACAGAGCCAATTCAGAGAAGAAAGCCAAGAGGTCAGAGCTAAGAGCCTCACCCTTCCTGATTCAGGGATCCTCTTCAGCCAAGAGAGCTCTCCGAAAAGGAACCTACTTCCTGTGTGTCTGTCTTTATAGTCTTTCTGTTCTGCCTTCTCATTGGTTGTAAACCCAAACATGTGACTGCCTCGTCACTGCCTGTATGTACCGCCCTCCAGGTCCTTAAAGGCGTGCGCCACCGCCGCCACGCACTTGCTATGGCTCTAATAGCTCTGACCCCCAGACAACTTTATTTATTAACATACAATTAAAATCACATTTCAGTACAAGTAAAATACCACAAGTAAATAATAGAGTATTTTCTCTGAATTTGTCAAATGTTAATGGACTGAACATTGTTAATGTAATTCTTGACTGTATATATTGTATATAGTTATTGTACTTATTGTATATAGTTTTTCTTATATTGGTTATACCTTTTTTATTTTAGACAAAAAAGGGGAAATATGGTGACTTTTTTTTTTGTACTCCAAATAATAAAACTTGCCTGAAAATCATAGGGCAGAGGTAGCCAGTAAAGGCCAGGTAGTGGTAGCACTCACCTTCAATCCCACAACCAGGGAGGTAGAGACAGGAAGTGATATGGTTGGGAGGAGACAGGAAGTGATAAGGTGGGGTGGAGACAGGAACTCGGTCCATTCAGTCTGAGGATTTGTAGGTAGAGATAGGATCTCATTGCCCCCTCCTTGGCCTCAGTATTTGGTAGAGATAAGAAATCTTTCTAGTGACTGGCTGCTCTGCTTCTCTAATCTTTTAGTTTTCACCCTGATATCTGACTACAGGTTTTTATTATTAAGAGCAATGAGAATTCATGCTACGTCTGGTGCCCAATGTGTGGCATGAATTCATGAAAAAGCTGCTTTCCTGTGGCTTTGTAGCCACTGGCACAGGCTGGAGCTGCACATTGCTGGAATCACTACCATATGCCAGGTGTTTGGGAACAGGTAGGTGAGAGAAAAATGTTCCATGCTGCAGTCCAGCTCCAGATGAGAGCAGGGTCTGAGGATGGGTGGATGCAGGAGTGGTGATGGAGGAATCAGACATGAAACACTTCTTAGTTTGCAATGGAGGAATCAAACACAAGATACTTCTACTTTCATTTTAGGAGATATGGACAGAGAGGAAGCATATGGGAGTCATCCCCAGTGGGACAGGACCAGCAGAGGGTGGAAGGAGCCAGAGGGAGAAGGAAATGAGCCAGGCCATGGTGGTTGGGAGAATCTTCCAGCCTGACTGAGTAGCAGCCAGAGTATTTCTTTATTTATACAGAATTAAGTAAACAGGGATATATCCATGATGTTCCAAAACATAGATCATATCATTTTTGTTTTTGGACATGTGTTTCACTTCCTTTTGCTCATCTTTTAGTCATTATTAATAAATTATAACAGAACAGAGTTATCATTTCCAATCATTTTCCCTCAAGTTTTGACATCATTAATAAACAGAGTTATCATTCTTACTCATTAACCCCATAACCCATTTTTTAAGAATCTAGAGGCATATGACAGCCTGTTCTCAGGCTGGTTGCTTTGGTTACTTCAAGGACACTAGACCAAAACAAAAATCTTCAAGCCACCCTGGGCATTTTGCCATGTCCCAAGCAGTGTATTATTAACTCTTAGTGCTCAGAGTGCCCAGGAAAAAATCTTCAGGCCAAAGCTGCTGCAGTTATTATTCAAACTCTTGCATAATACAATGTTCACATTTATATCTTTATAGAATTTGTCTATATGTCTAATACTGGCATTCTGTTGTTCCTTCAGCATATGTCACCATAGTGGCTCTGCATGAGTTAACATTTCTAAAAGAGGGAGGTCCTGATACCTCATACTTTTATCATCTTTCCACTCCATATTTTGCTCATCAGTATGTCTCTGTGTAGGACAGAGTTGTATGTCACATAATTGTCTGAGTGTACAGTGGGAAGAGGCTTGTAATCTGAACTGTGGACAACTCCTCTCACCCACCAATCTTGTTGACCTTTTGAGTTTACTTTGGTTTGAATAACTTGTTCCTGTGTAAGTACAGGGACAGATGTTTCAAGAATGTCTCATAGCCTCATGAAGAGACCTCTGGCTTCTTTATGTGTCACAACCTCCAAGGCGCAAGGAAGACCTTCAAGTAGATAAGGATATCTCCCCAAAAGTGGGGGAATAGTATGATCAGGACTGTCTTAGGGAAGCTTAGAAGCAGCATTCCTGGGAGAAGGCATAAATGATTAATAAGGAATTTTCCATCCATCCAATATCCCTAGATTGTACAAATATTAAAAGTGCCCCAAGTATGTAACAGGTGGAGATGAAAACCAAAGGTGGCATGGCAGCCATCATGTGGCTCAGCTTTGCTGGATCTTTGTCAAGCAGCTGTGTTGGCTTTATGACTTCTGCCATTCCATTCAGCTATGGCTGTGCCAGTTCCACCTACAATATCATGGTAGGAAGCATGGTGGCCTACAGGCAAACATGGTGCTGGAAGAAGTATCTGAGAGTTCTAATCTGGATCCACAGGCAGCAGAGAAAGCCAAACACTAGGTCTGACTTGAGCTTTTGAAACCTCAAAGCCCATTCCCAGTGGCACACTTCATCCAATAAGATCACACGGATTCCAACAAGGACACACCTCCTAATCTTTCTCAAGTATTGCCACTCCCTGATGACTGAGAATTTAAATATGAGGCTATGCAGGCCATTCTTATACAATCCATCACAACCTCCAAGGCAAATAGAATTGCACATGAAAAATTTCATCTAATGGTCAACTTTCTCTGGCCATGTTTTCTATGCCTTTTTTAAAAATCTGTCAAGATGTCCTTAGTACATGGCCTTTCACATCTGAGTACTTTGCCCGCCCCCACTCCTTACCCTGTTAATTCAGCACCATACAAAAGTATTAACAAAAGCAGTTATGGCACATTCAATGAATCTACCTCATTTCTGTGTTTTCGTCAGCAATTTTTCATCTATTGATTCAAAGCCTAGGTCTTGCTTATATATTTCCATTTCACCTTGTTGTGTTCAGAGTTGAGTACAAGCTGTATTCCATTACATAACCTTATTACATGGATTCTCTATAGTTATGGGAATGTCTGCAAAGAATAAAGCACACTCTTTTATAAAGAAATAAACATGATTATTTTCCTTTAACTTGATCAAGGAAATTGAAGCAAATTATGTGATACTGTCTCTTAATCTTGCAGATTTAAAAGTGGCCAATTAACAGCTCTACCAAGCACCATTGCAGCCAATACATATGTGAATGCCATAATAATTCATGAGGAAACATGTTAAAAACATGGATCAAACCACTGAAAAGGGTTAAATTGTCTGAGAATCAAAACATGAAGCAAATACATATTTGTATGTAATTATCTGAGAAAAGTGAAGGCTTTACAATAACAGAGAAGACATCTAAATTCTAATTCTGACATTCCTGCTCCAAACTAAGTGTCAGATGACAAAGACAATACTTGTCACTTTAGAATCTGATGAGGGATTCTGAAGTCACTGCATTCAATGGTGTCATCTCTTTTCACAGAGTATAGCCTAACATTAAGAATTCCCTGAAGTGCTGTGCCAATCTTGAATTTTAAAAAAACCTTTCTACTATAGAGCTAACATGGAATGTATGCAAAGGTTGAAGAATAACAGACATGGCAGAGAAAGCCGAATAAAATTCAAACATCAAATACGGAGACTAAAAAGAAAATTCTCTTTCCATTTGAGAGAAGAAAAGGAGTCAACCAGAAGATAAAATTAAAAAAGAAATCTGGCAAGAGAAGAAAAGGAATTCCTAATAGAAAACAAAAGGGCCAAATATAGATGAATCCATTCTTACCCTAGGCCATGTGGATCCTGAATACTGAAAAAGAATATATGTGAAAAGTTACTTATTTGAGCTGAAGTTTTATATTAGAGGGTGGCATTTTCAAATCCCCACTGAGTAAAACTCACTGGGGAGAAATCTAGTAATCATTGCATTCCCATCACAGTGTAATGGTACTCTCTTCCAATTAAGCAGAAAGACCTGTCAGAGGTGCAGACAAGAGTTGGAGTCTGTAGAAAATTGGAGATAAAAATCCAAGAGAAGAGCATACTAACAAGTGTCTGCCATGCTATAAGTCTTAGGGAGATGGAACCCATAGTGTTACCTACCTGCCTGTACATAAACAACTTATATGTCTGAGTGCACGTGTATTTATCATGTTGTTAATGACTGAAGTTGTCATTCTAATCACCTTGAGAACTTCCCTGGAGAATTCTGGATCTTTTTTTTCTTTTAGGTTCTGTAGAGTGAAAGGTCTGAGCTCACTTCCTGGTTGGAAAAACCAAAAAAACCCACCAGTTGTGGAATATTTGTTTACACTGTGTATATATGTCACAGTGATTGGTTTAATAAAGAAGCTGACTGTCCAATAGCTGGACAGGTTGAGGTTAGCAGACAAAATAAGAACATGAAAAAGAAGGGAGGAGTCTCAGAGTCACAAGGAGATGTGGAAAGAAGCAAGATAAACTTGCCATGTTGAATAAAGGTACCACCATGTGGCAGAGCATAGATAAGAAATATGGGTTAATTTAAAAGGTAAGAGCTAGTTAGTAATAAGCCTGAGCTATCCGCTGAGCATTTATAATTAATATAAGTCTCTGTGTGGTTATTTAGGAACTGGCTGGTGGGACAAGAAAGTCTGCCTGTAACCAATTCTTGAGTCCAAAAAAATGTACCAGTCTCTGAACTTGAAAACCCACCAGTCCCTAAACTCAAAATTTCACCAATCCCTAGGCTTGCCCCAAGATCAAGACTTGAAATCCCACCAATATCTACCCTGAATGTCTCCTCCCTGAAAAAATCCTCCCTCACAAAACCCTATGTAAGCCTATATCCTCTTCAGTTTCCTGCTGCTTCTTGTTGGAACAGAAGCAGCTACCCTTTTGTCCCTCTCCCAAAAAAATCTCATGTGTGGTTTGTTGTGAGGAGTTACTTTGGAGTATTCCTTGGCTCCCAACTGCCAGGATACCTTTCCCTTTAGAGCTACAACACTTCCATTGGGGAAACCATTTCCCTCAGAGCTATAACACTTACAGGCTATGCAAAATAAATGCTACAGAATATATTTGCATATTTCTACTCCAGACAGTCACAGTGATTTCATCCAAGAAACTAAAATCCCAGGGGTAAACTTGGCCACCAGTGTTTACCAAGAAACAGTTCATATCAAAGACATTGAGGATGAGACAAACATGTTCTGTCAGAGGATGCATTACTAGGTAAGGTGAAAAAGACAGAAAGACTCAGAATGAATGAAAATTTTCCAACATTTCTTATGTTTAAATCCTTTTCCACATCTTCTGATACCCATTTGGTTTCCCTTCATGTTGACCACTGAAGTGCATATCTGAGGGTGAATGGGCAATGATGTCTCTTATATACAAACTGCTTTCATATACTGCTATTGCAGGAGATATGTCTTCATTAACAATGTGCTCTAGCATCTCTGGGCTTCTGCACACTGACTACCATGTCCATATTCACAATCTCTCTCAATTACCAAATTCTGCAAAAAAAATTGAGAAGAACATTACTGCACTTTGATGATTAACCCAGAGAACTGTTGGAGGTCAGTGTAGTGACTCTTGAATGTTATAGTACTCCAGAGGCAGTGCCAGGAAGCTGTCGTGTTTGAGGCCGACTTGACTACATAGAAAGACATGGTTCCAAGGAAAAATATAGTGTTGACCTTTGTTCTTTAAGAATTTGTGAACAGAAAAGCAGTGACTATTCATCAGGAGGTCAAGGACAATATACAATCATATAAAATTTTACAATACTGTTGTTTTTAAGCTTTTGAAAAAATACTGTCTATGCCACAGTGAACAAAATTAAATATCAGACATTGTAGAATTTGAAATAGTTGAATATCCTTAATGTAATTTATTGAATATTGATTTCAACTTAAGTAGAAAAGTAATATTTGCTTGGCACATATCTTATATTAAAAGCCAAAAGATGACTTGATAAAATGACCCAAATATATTGCATGAAAATATTTCTCAATAAAATGTTTTAAATAATACTTACCTGGCAGGGGAGATACCATGATCACGAAGGTGGTTTTCCCAGGGCGAGGCTTATCCATTGCACTCCGGATGTGCTGACCCCTGTGATTTCCCCAAATGCGGGAAACTCAACTGCATAATTTGTGGTAGTGGGGGACTGCGTTCACGCTCTCCCCTGAAAAAAAAAATAAAAAAAAAATGTTTTAAATAATTTTGTACATGAAGGAATGCTTTTTTGTAATGAATCACTATAAAAGGTCTGACATCACTAAATATTTCACCATTTTAACAATATTACAGAGCTGAGATCCTCCAATTTGGAATGCCCAAGCTTCTCATCTTTCTTTCTCATTTTCCTGAATACTGTTATTATAGTCATGCAAATCATTCTGATAATAATGGGGATTACATCGTTCCTCAAAGGTGTTGAAAGATTTCATAATGTAGGAAATGAGAGATGTCCTAGTGAGCTCCCAGAGCTAAACTGTTAGAACAATGTCTCTGACTCATCAATAGTGAATGGCCAGTTAGTGGTCTCTGTCAGCAGCTAATGTGATCTTGACTCTTGGGAATGTTTGTACTTGTGAATTTAGGCTTTCTTCTGAATCTTGGGCATAGAAATCTCTTTTTAAAGAATTTTAAGGGTTCCTTTTCATACCTCTTGAATCCTCTGTAGACCATTGCTGCAATGTAACCGCACGCACGCACACACACACACACACACACACACACACACACACACACACACCTCACATTGAGTAATTGTATCCTTGGTGTGTTTTAATTTTTTGCCTGCAAATGAATAGAATGAAATATAAGATGTGAGAAAGCCTTGGGCAACTTCCTGGCAACAGAAAAGCAAAATTCACTTCAAATGGGATATATTTACTCTGAGGTTAAATATAAGTGACCATGGCCTAGAAACACAGAATTTAGATTATCCCACTTTTTATATTCCAACACGAATATTCTGTTTTATAGTAACAGAATAAAGAAATTATAAAATCAAGACACTTTTTTTTAAAAAATACATAGTTGGAAACATTAGGTAGACAAGTTACATAGCAAAAGGGGAAACCTTTGGAGTAGGCTTCAGATGCTTTCTGATCATGATCTTGTCTTTTTGGTTGGTTAGAAAATTGGTGCTCTGTACATTCCAAAGGAAACTACTGTTCTATTGTACATTCCAAATGATTTACATAATAGTCATAAAGTTGTTAGGTCAGTTGTTCTAAGGGCTAAGAAGGGCCCAAGGTAATGGGCTTGCAACACTTCAAACTCTCTCCAATCCCTGATGTTCTGATCAGTGAATCAGCCTTACAAAAGGTTCAGCGTTGGCTCACATGCATCATCCTTGAGCTTGCTTATCAGACTGTTCTTCCTGATCCTGTGTCCAGACTGACCTAGGGACCTCTCCTACCTTGTCATCATGCATTTTGTTCCTAAGGTACTGAATCTGGTTGCTCCCCCAATCAAACTCTCTAGTTGTAAGTGGAAGAACCCATTGTGACCCACATAATACACCAGGGAAGCTGCTCTAAAATCCCTGAACATGTTTTCCTTAAATGCCCTAGGGTTAGATCAGGTTTAGTCCATCCTTGCTGCAACCTGTCGTTTAGCTGTAACCCTGCAGGGAAGGGGTGTTTTCCAGGTTATAAGATGCTTCCGCACCCCCCAACCCCACCAACACCCTACAACCCCCCAACCCCAACTTCCCCAACGCCCCCACCACCCCTTCCACTGCCGGTATCATTCACCAATCAGGGACGTTGTTATGACTCTGCATTAACTGTCCAATGAGAAGCAGGAATATTCGGAAGGTGCAGCCGTTACTGCCATGTTTGAGTCCCGAGAAGTCGTTGAGAGGTCCCCTGACCTTGTTGACTATGCTTCCAGCTGATGTTAGGCCCCTTAGGGGGGATACTTGGATGCATCAGAAGCAGGACATGGTGAGTGAGCCCTGGGCGGGTTTGTGACTTTGCTGCGGCTCTAGCAGAATGTGGCGCCGGCTCTAGCAGAATGTGGCGCCGCCGCTCTGACGTTCCCCTGGAGCTGTGCAACCGATTCTGAGGTGAAGGCTCCGGCGCGGGTCTCCCCTCCTGCTCTTGAAGTGTGTGCAGAGCAAGCAGCAGGGAGCCTGGGGTCCTGTCCTGTCGCTGTGAAACTGCTTCACTCCTGTCCGGGTCCTGTCGGGATGCGTCTGGGCGGCGAACTTAAGCTGCTGCAGACCCTGCAGCGCGGGCGGATTAGTGCTGCTCAGACTCCAGATTGTGCTGTGAAGGGCGCCTGGATGACGAGTGCTGTTTTCCCGTCCTTGAATTCCCATTTGACCTGCTTTAGCTTACCCCGTGATCCCTCTGGGTTCTTTTAAAATATTTTCTGTATTGTTGAAATTTGTATGCATATATACAATGAAATATGATCATATTCACCCCATTCCTCCTTCCAACAACTCATACGGGATCCCAACACGTGCCTCTTCTAAATTCATTATTATTATTATTATTATTATTATTATTATTATTATTATTATTATTATTTTATTTATTATTATTATTTAATAATCCAGCAATTAGTGCTGCCAGTATGTTCATGGGTGTTTAAAAATGGAGTCCTATCAGTGGCTATTTCCTCTAAACAGAATGGTTCTCCAGAAAACTGTTAATTGCCAATAACTGCTCAGTAAGTGGTGGGCCTGGACAGTACCTCCCGATCTATGCCAGATCTTGTGCAGGTAACCACAGCTGCTGTGAGCTCCTCAGTACAATAGCTCTGTCATTCCAGAAGACAACATTTCCTGGTCTTCTGGCTCTTACATTTCTTCTGCCTCCTTTTCGGAGACGTTCCTTGAGCAGTGGTGGAAGAGGCTGGGGTTAGGTACAGGTGCCCCATTCAGGACTGAGCATTTGGCCTCTTATTGTCAGTGTTTTTGACCTTTTAAACATCTCTTTGTTGACTGCTGCCTGAATGAAAAAAAGAGCTAAAAAGGAAGGGGCATGACTGCCCCTATGGTGGAGGAGAAAGTTTATTGTAGATAAAAGGGAGAGCATAGCCAGAGTTAGAGACATCTGGGAGAGTCCAGAGTGGTTGTGATCATGTGTCATGTGAGGAGAGGGGAACCATTGCAGCAGCCAGAAGGCAAAAGGTACAAAAGGGGCAGGGAGCCATAATGGTTGGATCATATAGGAAAGTGCGTTCAGGATAGTGATTGGGTATGCAAGCCATGAGGACCCTGTAACAGGTAGGGACTGAGGGATGCTGCAAGAGCCTGGCTGCAAGGTTTGTTTTGATATGTTAAATAGGCACCTCAGCCATTTATGACCTGCTACCTATGACCTGCCCCTGAGGCGAGACAGTTACCAGAAGCCTCACAGGGGGTAGTACTTCCAGGTCAAAGCTGGAACAGCTACCCACTACACTTGGTCATCAGATCCAGGTAAGTCAGTGCTACATAGTCAGTAGTCAGACCCTGTCTCCAAACAGATAAACAAACAACAAAAAGAAGAATGGATTCTTTTATCTATTTAGTAGCATAAGTCCATTTTATCTATGTTATAGTTTAACTCTCAAGTTTTTTTATATTAATTTTTAGTTTAGATAACCTGCCTATTATGTTACTGGGTAGAAATGTAACTTTATTTTTTCTTCATTTTACATACCAACCAAAGTCCCCCCCCCTCCTCTTCTTGCTGCCCCTCACCTCCCCACCCCCATCCACTCCTCAGAGAGGGTAAGACCTCCCATGGGGAATCAGCAAGGTCTGACATTTTAAGTTGAGGCAGGACCAAGCCCTTCCCCACTGCGTCAAGGTTGAGCAATGTATCCCTCCATTGGGAATAGACTCCAAAAAGCCGGTTCATGCACTAGGGATAAATCCTGGTCCCACTTCCAGTGACCCTACCAAGTGCCCAAGGCACATAACTGTTGCCCACATTCAGAGGGCCTAATTCAGTCCCATGAATGTTCCCCATCTGTCAGTCCAGAGTCAGTGAACTCCCACTGAGTCAGCTATCTCTGTGGGTTTCCCCATCATGACCTTGATACTGCCCCCCCACACACACACCCCTGCTCCTATAATCTCTCCTCCCTCTCTTCTACTGGACTCCAGGAGTTCGGCCCAGTGCTTAGCTATGGATCTCTGTATGTGTTTGCATCAGTTATTTGATGAAGGTTCTATGATGACAATTAGGGAAGTCGTCAATCTGATTACAGGAGAAGGCCAGTTCATGCACCCTCTCCACTAGGGCTTGGAGTCTTAGCTGGTATCATTCTTGTGGGTTCCTGAGAATTTCTCTAGCACCAGGTTTCTTCCTAACCCCATAATGGCTTCCTCTATCAAGATAATCTCCTTCCTTGCTTTCCTATGGCGATCCATGCATATCCCTCTTAGGGTCCTCCTTGTTATTTAGCTTCTCTGGGGTTGTGGTTTGTAGACTGGTTATCATTTGCTTTATGTCTAATATTCACTTATGAATGAGTACATATCAAGTTTGTCTTTCTGGGTCTGGCTTACCTCACTTAGGATGTTTTTTTTTCTAATTCCATCCATTTGCCTACAATTTTCTTGATGTCATTGTTTTTTACAGCTGAGTAATATTCCATTGTGGAAATGTACCATATTCTCTTTATCAATTCTTCTGTTGAAGGGCATCTAGGTTGTTCAATGCCTCTATGAACATAGTTGAGCAAGTGCACTTGTGATATGATTGAGCAACCTTTGGGTATATGCCCAAAAATGGTATTGCCAGGTCTTGAGGTAGATTGATTCCTAATTTTCTGAGAAACTGCCACAGTGATTTCCAAAGTGGCTGTACAAGTTTGCACTCCCACCAACAGAGGAGGAGTGTTCTCCTTGCTCCACATCCTTCCCAACATAAGCTATCATCAGTGTTTTTGAACTTAGTCATTCTGACAGGTGTAAGATGGTATCTCAGAGTTGTTTTGATTTGCATTTCCCTGATGGCTAAGGATGTTGAGTGATTCCTGAAATGTCTCTCAGCCATTTGAGATTCTGCTGTTGAGAATTCTCTGTTTAGATCTGTACTCCATTTTTTAATTGGAACATTTAGTATTTTGATGTCTAGTTTCTTGAGTCCTTTATATATTTTGGAGATCAGCCCTCTGTCAGATGTGGGGTTGGTGAAGATCTTTTCCCATTCTGTAGGCTGCCTTTTGTTTTATTGACTGTGTCCTTTGCTTTACAGAAGCTTCTCAATTTCAGGAGGTCCCGTTTATTACATGTTGCTCTCAGTGTCTGTACTACTGGTGTTATATTTAGAAAGTGGTCTCCTGTGCCAATCTATTTAAGGCTACTTCCTACTTTCTCTTCTGTCAGGTTCAGTGTAGCTGGATTTATGTTGAGGTCTTTGATCCACTTGGACTTGAGTTTGTACATGATGATAGATAGGGATCTATTTCCATTCTTCTATATGTCAACATCCAGTTATGCCAGCACCATTTGTTGAAGATGCTTTCTTTTTTCCATTGTACAATTGTGGCTTCTTTGTCAAAAATCAGGTGTTCATAGGTGTGTGGATTAATGTCAGGATCTTCACTTCGATTCCATTGATTCACATATCTGTTTTTATGCCAATACCAAACTGTTTTTATTACTATAGCTCTATAGTAGAGCTTGAAGTTAGGGATGGTGATGCCTCTGGAAGTTCCTTTATTGTACAGGGTTGTTTTGGCTACTGTGAGATTTTGTTTTTCTATATAAAATTGAGTATTGTTCTTTTGAGGCCTGTGAAGGATTGTGCTGGGATTTTGATGTGTTCTTTTAAGGCCTGTGAAGGATTGTGTTGGGATTTTCATGGGGATTGCACTGAATCTGTAGATGGCTTTTGGTAAGATTGCCTTTTTTATTTTGTTGATCCTATCTGTCCAAGAGCATGGGAGATCTTTCCATTTCTGATATCTTCTTCAATTTCTTTCTTCAAAGACTTAAAGTTCTTGTCAAACAGTTCTTTCACTTGTTTGGTTAGACTTACCCCAAGATATTTTATGTTATTTGTGGCTATTGTAAAGGGGGTTGTTTCTTTGATTTCTTTCTCAGCCCATTTATCATTTGTATATAGGAGGGCTACTGCTTTTTTTGGCTTAATCTTGTATACCGCTACATTACTGAAGGTGTTTATCAGCTATAGTAGTTCCCTGGTAGAATTTTTGGGGTCAGTTATATATACTATCGTAACACCTGCAAATAGTGCAAGTTTGACTTCTTCCTTTCCAATTTGTATCCCTTGATCTCCTTTTGTTGTCTTATTGCTCTTACTAGAACTTTGGATACTATATTGAATAGATATCCAGAGAGTGGAGTGCCTTGTCTTGTTCCTGATTTTAGTGGAATCACTTTAAGTTTCTCTCCATTTAGTTTGAGGTTGTCTGTTGGCTTGCTGTATATTGTCTTTATTATGCTTAGGTATGTTCCTTATATCCCTGATTTCTCCAAGACCTTTATCATGAAGGGGTGTGGGATTTTGTTGAAGGCTTTTTCAGCATCTAATGAGATGATCATGGTTTTTTTTCTTTCAGTTTGTTTATATGGTGGATTCCATTGACAGATTTTCATATGTTGAACCATCCCTGCATCACTGGGATAAAGCCTTCTAGATTATGGTGGATAATTTTTCTGATGTGTTCTTGGATTTGGTTTGTCAATATTTTATTGAGTATTTTTGCATCCATGTTCATGAGGGAGATTGGCCTATAATTTTCTTTCTTTGTGTGGTTTGGATATCATGGTAACTGTAGCCTCACAGAAAGAGTTTGGCAATGTTCCTCCTGTTTATTTTGTATGGAAGAATTTGAGGAATATTGGTATTGGTTCTTCTTTGAAATTCTGGTAGAATTCTGTGTTGAAACCATCTGGTCCTGTGCTTTTTTGTTTTGGAGACTTTAAATGATTGCTTCTATTTCCTTGGGTGTTATAGGTCTATTTAAATTACCT